CTCTCTCCACAGAACAAAGTATAAAAAACATGTATGCGAAAAAAAAAGGAAAAAAGAAAAAGAGGGAAGAAATAAACAACACAACACACACACACACACACACACCACACACACACACACACACACACACACACACACACCACACACACACACACACACACTCACACTCACACTCACACACACACACACACACACACACACACACACACACACACACACACACACACACACACACACACACACACACACACACACACACACAGAATGCATACAGTGAGCAGAATATAGTGCAGTGCATGAGTGCAATATAGCTCTTACATGTTGCTAAATACGGAGAGGATTGAACAATGGGTAGTCTAGTCTGCTAGCCATGGTTTATGTAAATATGCAAAGTTCATGTTGAAAGAAAAAAATTGGGTTAAAAAGTGAAGGAATAAAAAAATTTAAAAATAAAAAAATAGTATGACTTTGTGAGCGAAGGTAGGGGAGCCGAGAAGTGACCACAAATCCTGCATGGTAAGTGTTTCACACCAAGAGACAACTGCTGTAAATAGAGCTCTGTTTCTGTCACACATGGAAAATAAAGTTAGTGGAAGCAGCAGTTACAATTCAGTCTCTTGAAGCCATAGATGACCTAGCAGCAAAATGCCTGAAAATAAGTGAAGAAAACAAAAATTTGAAGGAATTGGTAGATAATTTGCACAGGAACACAACCATTCAGAGAGAGAATATTGAAAAGTCTGACATGAAAATCAAGGAACTCAAGAAAAACTTAGAAGAAGCAGAAACCAAGATTGGCAATGGCAGTGAAATCGAAGCAAAGAATCTGCAAGAAAAAGTTGAGGAAGTAATCAAAGTACAAGAAACTGTTAAGCATATCAAAAACTTCTGTCAAGCAGCTATGCTCAAATAATGGAAGAGGCAAAAAAGATGACAGCTTCATATGCCGATGTATCAAAGGTAAAAGAAACAGTAAATGATATGAAAAAAAAGAAAAAGACATCCAGGTAGTAATTACACTAACATACTCTCTGCTATAGTAGGTAACTATAGAAGCAAGAAGTACAATTATAAGAGAGGTGACTATAGAAGCCTTAAAGATTTCTTTGATAGCTTAAACTGGGGAACACTTCTTGTCGATAAGAACCTTGATATTCAATATCTAAAATTTTGTCAATAAAAGTCAATAAAAAAGGAGTAGAAAAATTTATATCAAAATTCAAAACTGAAGCAAGAAATCACCAAAATGGTTCAATGACAAATGCAAGCAGCTCCTTTGGAAAAGATCCAGAAGACATAGACTTTATACAGCATAAGATAGATATAAAGTAGGAAGAAATGAGTATACCCAAACCGTTAATTATATTAAAAATATAATTAACAAACGTACAAGTCAACCAAAGCCCTTCTTCAACTGCATAAATAGTAGAAATAAAAGTAGAGATCAAATTTGCACCATCAAAGACAATAATATTGCTTACACTCAGGAGGAAGAAATGAGAGAAATCCTAAATGAGAAATTTCAGTCTGTGTTTGTTCAGGACCCACACTTAGATATGGCAAATACCCGTACAAACGGAAAGAACACTGAAAATATCACCATCACCCGCAAAAAGAATGAAATAGACAATCTACTAAAAGGATTAGATAAGACCAAAGTAGAGGGACCAGATGAGATTTCTAAATGGGCTCTTAGAGAATGTGCCATAGAACTATGTACTCCTTTATTGTTAATATTCCAAAATTCAGTAAGACAAGGTAAACTGCAAAAAAAGGTGGAAACACTAATATTGCACCCTTATATCAGAGTGGTGAAACAACACCCTCTAAATAATAGAACAGTTGCCTTAACTAGTGTAGTATGTAGGCTGTTAGAAAGGATAATTAGGAAAAAACAGGTTTAAGTACTTGAAAACACAAAATATCAAATAAACAATTTGATTTTAGAGAAGGAAGGTCACACACACACACACACACACACACCACACACACCACACACACACAGCACACACACCACAACACACACACACACACACACACACACACACACACACACACAAACACACGCACGCACGCACGCACGCACGCACGCACGCACGCACGCACGCACGCACGCACGCACACATGCACACGCACACATGCACACGCACACATGCACACACACACATGCACACACACACATGCACACACACATACCCTTGCACACACACATGCACTTGCACACACACATGCACTTGCACACACACACGCACACACACATGCAAACACACATGAAATCCAAAGGTATAATGTTTTGAGTAATTCTCTTGCAATAAATTGGTGTCCTTTATAAGAGAGGAAAAAGAGAGGAGACAGAAAATGGATAAAAATCTTTAAAAGTGGAAGCAAAGGTAACTCGCAAAAAAAATCTCATAAAGAACAGAGTCAAACAAATTATAAGGAAGAGTGCAAGAAGACAAAAGAAAAAAGAAAAAATGCTCATGGTCATTTGCCATTGCGA